CCTGCCGCTAGCCAGTTGCGTGGGGTGGGTAGTTGGGCTGGCTGGTTGGCTGGGTGATTGGGTGGTTGGGTGGTTCACTGAACTGTGTTTACCCTGCTTGCATTTTATCAGCTGCCTCCATTTCCTGCCGGCAAACGCCGCTGCTGCTGTTGCTGCTGCTCCCGCTGCTGCTGTTTGCGCCGCATTGTCGCATTCCAATTACAAAACAATCATGATGAGCTCTAGATATTTGCAACAACAGCAGCAACAACACCCTCATAGTTACTTATTTGAATAGAGAGTCAGTAATAGCGAGAGAGAGACAATGAGAGAGAAAGAGAGAGAGCGAGAGAGACAGCATCCGCTTTCAGTGGTTTCCACTGTTGCCTTTAACAGCTCGTCAGCTCTTTAATCATCTGAAGAGCTCTCGTCGATTGTTCCTAATAAGCACAAGGCGCATTTAAATCGGACTCTCGACTTTTACTTTCAGGAATCTCAACAAATTGAGGGGTATTAATAGTACAAAGTCACACAACGCAAAGTTGATTTCGGGGAGAATAGGTTAGAGTCCTAAATATAAACTTAAATAGCTGGATGAAATTCTGTCAAGTAAAATGTCGAACTGCCTTCTATATATGTCGTGGTCCTTCCCAGTCTGTGGGAAATGCGTTCCTGCCTTACTTCGGTTTTTATTATCCGATTTAAATACAATCTCCAGATTTTAAATATGGCACACAAAAATGTGTGCATACCAAGGCTCAAGGCAATAGTTTGTAAAATTCGATTTACTGGATTTTCTCGGTGTCGGTGTGTAAAATATTCTGAATCTGTGTAATATGTGTAATATATGATTTTTGTTCCATTCGTATATATACATATAAGAGAAGATCTCTTCAAGATAACTGCATGTATAGCCAGCTAGTGAGTGCTATATAGATGAAATTTTAAATTTAGCCCCGTTTGAATTGAGCTTTTTCTTGAGAGGTAACAAGTCGATTTAGTCCAGGTCGACCCAAATTAGAGGTCGGTTGCTCCGGAAACAGAATGAACTAATTGAAACACAATTTCGAAAAATGTAACTGACAATTTCCACAGGTAAGGTGTGCCTGTGCTGGTTGTGGCTGTGTGTGTAGGTGTGTGTCTATGTAATGATGCGAAGTGATGCTGGCCAGCCGCATTGAAAAGCCTTCTGCCTCTGGTTAGAGCATATGCTGTTGACTAGCTAAGATGCCACGCCCTGTCAACATCTTCGCCCACATAGAGCACCAGCCATAACGAGTGGAAGGAGGAGCGCGGGAGGGGGGGGGGGTGTCTTGCGGGCAGCTGGTTTTGTGTATGATTTTGTGTCAGCTTTAGGCGCCAGCCGCAAATCCACTTAATGCATACACTTACACATCGACACACACACACACACACACACACACACACACACATACCCGAGAGCTTTGTGAGTGGCATGTAGCATGCCGCATGATGCATGAGGCATGAGACATGGGCCACATGGGTGTTGTTATTATTGGCGTAATTTGTTAAATGGGAGTGGCACGTACACTGATTGTCGCGCACCAACTGCCATTTAAGGGCTCTAAACAGGATACATGTGGGTTTCTACAGTACACATACACACACACACGGCTGCAACCTCACACACATATGCGGTGGGTGCATTGTTTGGCCCTGCTACAAGATGAGCTTGAGTTGCATCAACGCCTGCTGCTGCACCAACACAGCTCCCGCTGCAACGGAAGTCAGTGCATTTGAGGTTAAGTCACGCTTATGCATGTCTGTCCCCGCCCCTGGCCGCCGGCTCTGGCCCCTGACCATGTCCACTCGTGGCACGGGCATTTAACCTTTTTACACCCTGCGCACTTTATGCCACCTACAACACGGGCCCCAACTGCATCATGTGCATTAATACCTGTTTATACTGTTGCCACTCGCAGTGGGTAAGTGTGTGGGTATGGGTGCGTATTGGTATGTATATGTATTCCATTAGGTCAGCTAGTTGAAACTCATTCGGCAATACGTACGGACCACAAGCACACACAAATACCCAGGTTGAGTGTGTTGTATGAAACTTTGTGGTGCGTTATTTGAAAATTGTGGGTACTTTGCAACACTGGAAATCAAAATAGAATGCCATTGAAAGCTTAATACAGATAAAGGTCTAAATATGGTATAGGTAACGAGAGAGAGAGAGAGAGAGAGAGAGACAGACAGACAGACAGAGAAATAGAGAACCAGAGACAGCATTAATAGCAGAGGCTTCTCTGCTAAAAGATCTCGGCTGAAATATATATGCAGAGAGTCTGAGAAAGAGAGTGAGAGATGAGGGTGAGAAAAAGAGAGCGAGAAAGAGGCAGAGGCGGAGCGAACCAAAAAGTAGTATAAAGATAAAGAGAGAGAAAGGATTATACCTAACCTAACATGTCAGTATCTACGGTTCTGCTTGAATATTTTTTACGCAAGCATCAGACAGTTTATCGAACTTCTTATACAATTGTTAAGTTTTGCTTGATTTGATTTGCGAATAATCTAAGCAATATACTACTGGAGTCTCAATCGCATGGAGTACGTCCGAAAGGCATTTCCCAAACAGTTCGTATTTGCCAGTTCGTACTATGCCCCATTAAAATAACCCCTCACAAGCGGTTGCTGCAACCCTTCGCGGTGTTGATTCGCTTGAGCGACCCGTAGCCCTCGGGCCGGGCTGCTACTCCATAAGTCACGCAATTTCAATTCAACTGATTTTTCGCACCTCATCACGGAGTCCGCCCAAGGACCCTGCCGGCCTTGGGGGGTGGGGCTTCGTCTTCGTCTTCGTTTATGTTTGCGTCCCGCGCCCTTTATTTATTTGGAGCATAACTTTCTGACTTGGAAGGCATCTTGTTTTGTTGGCTTGCTTGTTTTACATTCTATCATAAACGGATTTGGTTTTGGCCCGCGGCTGCAGCCAGCACCCAACAGATTTATGATATGCCTTCAAGCCTACAGGCAGCTAAATTGCAAAACAATGTTTTCAAAGGAATGTGAATTTTGGCTTAGAGCGGGTTGTTTATGCCCTGACCTAAAAGTGTATCCTTTTTGTTACGAAATGTGTAAATATCTGGATGGAGTTGTCTCCGGTCCCATAAAGTATTTATTTGTATATATTGCTGACCAGTTAAAAACAGCCGAGTCCATATAGTCATGTTTGTCTCTCTGTTTTCTCTCCGTTTTGAAGCTATACATACGAAACTTATTTTATGTTTCTATCTTTTTTTCGACATTTACTCTCAAGAAATGATCTGCTCTAAATATCCAATGAAAAGTTTTATAATGTCAAAAACATATCTCTTGATATCATATGCTTAAGTCATTCATCGCTCCATTTATAAGAGCGAAAATCTTGGCTGGTTTTTGTATTGTAGTTTACCAGACGCAGATCAGTTTCACTAGGATTATTCGAAATGTACTGCAATTGATTTAAGTAAAATACACCCATTTGTGACATTTAATAGAAACAAAGCAACTGTTTTGAGCATCTCCCAGTCGGGGACTGTTCACTCAGTCAATGTCATTTGTTAGTTTTTATGGATTCTCGGTAGAAAAGCAGTTTCGAAAAAAATTTTCAGAATAAACTTATTTGGTTTTAGTTTTTAGATATTTGAGTAACCCCTAAATCTACACAGAGAGGACTTTTTACTTAAACTGATCAGAGGTACAACTTTGGCACATCTGTTAAGAAGTGGTTCACGTTGATTTGAATGATGCCAATAACCAATTTTACATAAACGGAGAATACGGTATGTTACACTGCCCGTTTTTTTCCCCCTTGACTAAACACACAGTTTCACACAAGAGCTGAGAGGTCGCGATCTATGAATCAGTGATACGCTTTTAAATGATTTATGGATTATTCCAATTACTCGACTTGGACCCTACTGACGCATGTATAGCTCCTTTTTTTTTTGTAAACATATGAGTAACATGGATTCAAGTTGTGCAGCCTATTGTTAAGTCTCTTAGAACTAAGGACTCACGGCTGGGCTGTTACATGTCTTGGCCTAAGACCCATAGGACTTTCGCTTGAGAGTTCTCTAGAAGTTCACTTGAACTTAGGCTCAGCTCAGCCGCAAGATGTCGTAGGTCATGCATTAATCTTTATTAAGCCTTTTACTTTTATTGGGCTGTGCCAAGTACAAGGCACTGGAGCTCTATTGGGAGCAGTAGGTTTGCAAAATGCTTCAAAAGAAACCAATTTGATTTTAGTATTAAGGATCTTCAGTTGACCTCAGTACAACACAAATGACACAGATCTTCCGGAACTCTTGTGATTGTGTAAACAGGGCCGCTCAATTTGCATGGTTACTGATTTTTACATATATAGATACATGTATAGATACATATGAATGGGTAATACGAAGGTGGGATATGATCGATTGTTGGCCTAGCAGGCCTGCTGAATGCTTTCAAGTATTCATCGAGTTTGTGTGCTGGATTTCAGTCATAACACAGACTAGATACACTTAACAACAACCAGATCCCGTTCAGATTATTCGAACGACAAAATTTTCACTTTTCGGCAACACATAGATTAAAAAACCTATTGTAAATTAGTGTAAGATCATTGTGTTCAATTGTGGGAATCTTGACAACTTGGCACTTGGCACTTAGCCCTTGGTCGCCGGTCGCTCCCGCGTTGCGTTTCAGTCCTCGATTCAAAACGATATTCAATCAGCTCAAATACAATCGCCTCGAGAATCCACAACCACCCCCAGCCCGATATAAAAAACTAAAAATAACTAATATGGAGAATCCGCTTTTAAATTCAGGTGATACGGCCCAGCAAGCGACGAATCAGCAGGCGGCAAACGCCAAGCAGCATCAGCACCAGCACCAGCACCAGCATCAGCAGGAGATCTTCATACATAGCCGTAGTTACGGACCGAAGCCTGCACTGAATCGGAGCAGCAGCAGCAGCAACAACAGCTGCAACAACTGCAACAGCAGCAATAGCCTTTTTAGCTGCAGCAGCAACAACAACAACAACAACAACAACAACAACAACAACAACAACAACAGCAGCAGCAGCAGCAACAGCAGCAACAACAACAGAAAGTTTCATCACAGCCGCAAGTCTGGCGGCGGCATACAAATGGCGTCGGGTCATATGGAGCGCAGCAGCGGCCAGAGCATGAGCAGCTCCGGCACTGGCCAACACGCCCACAATCGCCATCACAATTATACGAATGGACAGGGACAGGCACAGACACAGGCACAGGTACAGGTACAGGTACAGGCACAGGTACAGGCACAGGGCTACGGACACGGCGATTCACTGGGTACCAGCGGCAACAATGGCCGCACCAGCAATATTTCGGCAACTAGCATTGGCGGCACCACTGGCAGCACTGGCAGCATGCCGCTCTTCTATAGACACTGCTCCGAGTATCAACCGGGGCCGCATGCCAATCGGAATCCCTCAGCAAGCGTTTACAATGTGCGCTCTTGGTCCGGTTGGGATCCGCAGCAGCACCAGCAGCAGCTGCAGTTGGTCCAGCATCATCAGCTGGCCCAGCAGCAGCAGCTAGCGCAGCAGCACCATCTCGCGCAGCAGCAACATCAGCAGCAGCAGCATCATCAGCAGCAGCAGCAGCAGCAACCATTGGGCACGTCCTCGCATTTCGATATGCAACCGCTGCAGACATCGCGGTCGCATCAACTGAATGTGAGCGCACCCAGCTTTACGCCAGCTAGCGCCAGGGCTGTCGGTGGTGGCCTTACACCGGCAACGGGAATAGCTCGACGCCCGCCGATACCATTGATACCCAGTCAATCGCAGCCGCAGCTGCAGTCACAGTCCCAATCACACTCCAGAAGCCAGTCGGAACGGAGCAACGGGCGACGCCAACAGTTGCCGGATCTATTTCAAACGGTGCTAAAGCTGATGCGAGAGCTGAACCGTTCGGTCAGCTATCCGGAGATGATTGGAATGCTGTCGATGCGGCTGCAGCGTTTGCCTGTCGAGCTGAAGCGTCATATACCGCACACACTACACGGGGCCGTTGCAAATGGGTATTTACGCAAGGATGGCAATTATTATACGCTGCTCTCGGAGCAGGAGCAGAAGGAGATCATGAAGCGCAACCAGGAGGCAGCCAAGCGCGCCAAGGAGCTAGAGAAGGAGCCGCTCTCGTGGCGCATTCGTTAACGCAGACTTTCTTGCCACTCGTAACACTTGGCCGTTGCCAGGGATTCGAAGTGTAGTTCATATCGTTGATGTTTTTGTTCCCGCGTTACATGCACACCCCCATGAATCCAACGAATGTCAAATTGTTCCACATACATATACTACATACCAAACGCTGGGCTGCTGCCGAATGACATTTGGGTATTCCTCTGAAATTTAAGTTATTATTTTAATCAATTTCAATTGGCAAACCCTTCGTGTAAAATAAAAAAAAATTTAAGTTCGATCCAATCATCCACCAACTTCACTCATGTGCCCACGTCGACCCCCTCCTTATAATGGATGAAGCGGAGCAATGGACTACAGTAGAGCTTTGACGAACATTTTGTCCATCATCCATCAATGGTCGCACTAAACCCTGCTCAGGAGTCCAAGCTACAGCTGATATTCCAAGCGTGAGCATCGTTGTCCAAATTGTTCCCCTTAATCAATTAGAAGTTTTCCACCGAATAGATTTGTTGTTGGTGAGCCTTACAAACTGATCCCTGCTCGGGCTCCATTTATTCCGAGCCTTGTTCTTTTGTTTTTTTATTTTATTTCGGCTAACTCAATGCTGATTATGCTCAATTGCACATATACTAATTAAATATTCTAGTATTTGTAACAATTTATTATATTATTAGGCGAATATGTGCGGCACAGATTATGAATTTGGTTTATGGGCCAATATGATCTTACTTTATCATGGTGCACTTCCTTTCTCTGCTTTTGGCTGCTCACTTCCAGGTTCTTTTACGCGGGCCTCCTCGCGGCTTCTGTTGACCTGTTCAGGGGAAGCATTGCAACTGGAAACGTTTAGGCTTTGCTCCCGCGGCTCATTTGGATCTAAGCGACTTTGCACAATGGAGTAGCGATAGTTCCTAACCCGCAGATATCCATAGATGAGGGCATCGTGCAAATTGACGGTTATTTGACGCTTCAGCTCCTCATCGGAACGATCCAAACGTTCCGATACGGCCTCTACAATCTCGTGCTGCGTCAGCGGACGATCCGATTCGGCGACCACATTCAGTATGCTACTGAATAGATTTGGTATAAGTTTACGTCGCGGCGCTTGATTTGGACCATTTTGTCTCATCGTGATGGCCACGGAAGCAAAATTCACATCAACAAGCAGACTAATAATCTAAATAAAATATTTCTACTACCTTGATTATGAGCTCTGACAGCTTACTACTGAAAACTCACCAAGTACGAGTACTAGATTGATTGTGAAAAACGAAGGCGTGGCTTTTATGAGGTGAGTTTGCTTAAAAAGATCTGAGTGTTATTATTGTTATTAGTGAACAAATTGTATTATTTAGCCTGTCTCCTTCTAAGTCTAAGAGGCCAATTCTTGAAAAACTCTCAATATAAGTAGCAAAGGTCGATATTCCTGAACGCACAATTCTTTTTGAAAAGAATCCGTTAAGCAAATGCTAGAATCCGTTCTAACAGGGGGATTGTGAAAAGAAATCCTCATTTTTCTTAAAAAAAAGGAGCAAGTTGCCGGAAAACCATACGAGAGAAAAATCATCTAAGTATATGTTAGGTATTGAAATTCAAAGGGTATATCTATATTAGATAAAAGGATCGTTTATATGGCAATTAAGACCTATTCCGATTCCTCACCACTTCAAATTATGCCGGAAATTGGCATACAGCATGCTTTAAGAAAAACTAAAATGAATTGCTTTCAATTGGGAAAACATAAACAGCTTGAGGGTTGTTCCACAAAAGAATGCTGAAGCCAAAAGCCAAACATTTGAGAATTGTGATTAAATTGAAGCGGATGCTGGAGACACTTTAAGTGCCTCTCACGCAAAATAGAATAAGGAAAAGCGACTTTGCGGTTTCCATTTCGTTTGGCAGCAACATCTTCAGCTGCCGCATGCAAACTGAAGGACAGACTCTTCGCATTCGTCAGAGAGATGGAGAGTGAAAGACAAAGAGATAGCGAGAGCGAGTCAGTCTCCAGAGCAGAGAAAGAGATTATGTTAGGGGTCAGGCTGCGGCTGAGTCTAAGGCTGGCAGATATCGATTGGCTGTTAAAGTCGCGCAATGGACATGATACGAGGGCAAACTGTTTGGTTGGGCTAAAAAATGTGATATGCGGGCAACTCCACAATTGGAACGACAAAGAATCTGTGTCTCGGAAATTTGCATAAAGCATTGCGAGGGCGCGACAACAGATGCAGATACACAGCTATAGATACAGATACACAGATAGACTGAGCCGCAGGGGGAGATCTCTGGCGACTTGGGCACTAGGACTGGGCATCATCATTGTTATGGTCCTCCTTGTTGGCAGTTGTTGCTGTTATTGTTGTTGTTGTTGTTGCTGTTGTTGCTTTTGTTGTTGTGTCTGGCACGTGTCACAGGAAATTTAGATAACTGCAAATTTCCATTGGACGCCGCGTAACACAATAACCGCAGCCTGATTGAAATCAGTTTGAGTGCCGGCGCATTTATCTAACAGATACACAATTGAGAAGCGAGCGTACGTGTGTGTGCTTGTGTGATGCAATGTGGTGCAGCACTGCATTAACAATACAAGCGTAACTGAGCTGCATGCGCCTTAATTCATGCTTTGAGCCTCAATTAGCTGGCCAAAAGGAAGCGCTGTCAACATTTACATAACGTTCGGTTCAGCGATGGGCACGTGTCATAATATTATTGATAACGTGAAACGATAGGAACACGGGTCAGTTTATGATATTTTCATTAGTTTATTATTTTTATTATAAGGTCCTACTAGGGTTTTATCTATAGAAGGATATATCACAATAAGAAAATAGAAGCGAACGCACCTTGGAGCACGTCTCGACTCGACTCAAAAATCTTCTCCAAATACGTGTTCGGATTTTTCTGGATATCAGCCCAGCAGCCCTTTATATGAGGGAGCCTGATCATTAAAGCAGCTTCTCTTTATAATCCTCTTCTACTTGAATTTTTTATATTTTTTGATAGACACGAATAATCTGTGTCACGAGATTGGAGGCACGCGTTCATCTCTAGTTGGGTTCGCTCAGTAACTGTTCCTTTTGACTTTAGCAAACTGTCCGGCAGTTGTGCGTGGGAAATGAAGCTGGACGTGGAGATGTGGTGCTGGGCCTGTCCAGGATTCTGGGTCTTGGTCCATTTGTGCAGCTGTCGGAGTTGATTATCAACTTTGGCGCAGCTCTCAGCCAGTGACAGGCCCAAAAGTTTTGTATCCATTTCCATTTCCATTTCTAGTTGATATTATTTGGATGTGCGCACTGCGCTATACTGTTTAATTATGACTGACACTGTGGGTAAGCGCAACACAATTCGCCACTTGAAGTTGTCCCTATGCCCGAACTGCCCTGGACTAAGCTGGCGCAAGTGATTAGGCAAAGCCCCGAGTGTGTTGAGTAACAATTAAAATCAGCTCTCGCCGTGAAAAGTTTGGGCGCCCATCTGCGGAAGCCACCACAAACTAACCCTAAATGCCACACACGCCCTCGCAATTAACAGAAACTTTTACGGCGACTCAGCCAGGGCTGCCGCTTCCACTCCCGCTGATCCTGAGACAAGAATTATAGCCTGCAATCAGGCAAGCAGCATCGAGCATCTTGGCCCATTTATATACGCATCGCATATAATTCATTTTACGTTTACGCTTTGGCTTACATGATTTCCATTCCCTTCTTCCGTTTACCATTCCCATATCCACTCCGTTCCCGGCACCAGTGAAGCATGTAAGTGCCGTACTCTCGTTTCAGCCTGGTCAATAGCTGCCGCTTGGCCCAGACTCTGCTCACATAACACAATGGCGTCGCATTGGCGTCGGCGACGCTGACATCAGCCCTTTTAATGCCCCCTTCCCACAACATTGGCGCGTCGAAATTTCAAATGTCCAATTGCAGACAGTGGCAGCGGAATAAGCCTTGCAGCGGGGGCTTTCAGTTATCGATGAAAGTGAAACTTGAACGGAAAGTTTGACTCAAACATAAACTTATCTCGTGATCTAATATAAGAATGAGGTAGCGTGTCGTTGTAAGCAGACAATAAGAGAATTTCTGGCAGTTGACTATTGTCGTATACCCTGTGCGTATAGTAAATGTGTTAGGAAGTGTATTACGGTAGTGTGTGGTACCGTACGTGGAAGAAAGAAGGATTACCGACCATAAAGCATATACGCAAGATCAGATCGAAGAGCTGAATGTAAGATCTTTGTCCTCGAAATTATACATTATTCGCTAAGTGAGTTTATAATTTTATTCCGATGCTTTCCCCCATTTCCTTAACATTGGTTATTGTAAGACTAATTCGAAATTTGCTAAAACAGATAATTGATGATCAAGAATACATAGTTACTCCTTCTATGCGTTAAATTTAGCAAACACTTATTGATGCAAAATTCGTTTGGCTCTCTTCAAACGAACCCCCTTCAATCAAGCATATCGGCTGTCACTGGGCAAAGTGTTGCCAGCTGAAAGTGAAGCTGGCTCACAAATAATACTGATTCGTGTCGTATCCTTGGCAGCTGAAAGCGAAAAAGTTTCCATCATTTTGTGTTATATAAGTTGTTGTTGGTATTATTGTTGTTGTTGTTATATTGAATGGACTCGTCTATAGCCATCTTGGGATTGTAGTTTGAGTGCCGATTTGTTACTCCTCCTCCAGTTTCACTTCTCAGGCAGATCCATAAACGCAGCACGCGATGAAAAAATCGAGGAGAAGTAGTTGCGTGTTTCTTCAATGGTCAGCAATAGTAGTTGTTGTTGTTGTTGTTGTTGCAAGCACACCCTCTAGGCGTTACTAATCTAATTTGCAGTTATTGGCGTCCAGATTAGCATTCGCCACATATGTGTGTAATGCGTATCGCGTGCTCAGCGCCGACAGACTTTATTTTGTATTGGCCAACATTTGGCACACAACGGGAGCCAGCACCAAAAACACAGCCACCAACACCACCACCACCGCCCCTCTGCGCCTTAATACCCACTCCCATCTCCATTTCCACCGCCTGGCATACATTAGTCTAAGCTGTGTAAGTGCAAAACATAATGAAAATGATGTCAGTTTGATAAGATTTTCGCCGTGGGGCGTGAGTGCTATAGTATGTGTGCGTCTGTGTGTGTGTGTGTGTGTGTGTGTGTGTGCAAATCTGTGTATGAAAGCGAGTGTGCTGGGTTCTATTGCCCATGTTATTAGAAAAGTTTCGCTTATTAAAGAAAGCGCAAGCTAAAATCTACAAACAAATAACAATGCTCAAACATTAATAATTATACTTATATATTTGCTTCTGATAAATATTTCTTACAAATAACATACGCTTTAAATGTTTAATATTGAAAAATATCGATTTTAAAGGGTGATTTCTTGAGCATAACTCAAAAATGGTAATAACTAAATACCTTCAAACTACTATGTAGGTGCCCGTATATCTAATGCAGAGAACGAATCACAAGCGATCCACTTTGTGGATCCGTCCCCATATTTCTTCAAATCATTTTCTATATAATTCGATCAGTGGATTTTATTAGCGTGTAACAGTCTAGTTTGCCTATAGCTGGCCCCTGGCTGTCATGTCCGCAACAGGAACATTGTCAAAGTGTCAACGCTGCAACTGGCTACTGACAACGCCTATCAAATTAAGCAAAACAAAATTGCATTAGGGCTGAAAGTACCCACAACAGACTGCACCAGTATGCATGAGTGTGGTGTGTGTGTGGTGTGTGTGTGTATGTGTGTGTGGGTGTGTGTGTGACCAATGTCGGCACAACCAAAATTATTCATTGCACAATGCGGTCCAGACAATTTATGCTAATCAACATCAATCGATTTGCATGCCATGCATATGACCAAAGCATAAAAGCCGGTCAGGCCAATGGGTACCTCCAACTCCTGCCCACAGATGAAGTGGCAGCGGTTGAATATGGATTGGACAGGGGTTTTATTGCTGTTTATTGGGCGGCTGTGTGGGTTGTCCGGGCTATTGCTGGCATTTTGCAAAGTGTGTGTTCAGATGAATGTTCGAGTGCGCCAAAGTGGACAATCACTGCATATGGGTAATTGCATATAACGAAGTGGATGCTCTTTCAGTCAGGCGACTAGTTGCTGCTGTTCCTGCTGCTGCTGCTGCTGTTCCTACTGTCGATGCTGGTGCTGCCTGCGACAGCAATAATTTCAAACTGTTTAAAAAAATGGGGGATGAAGCACGGGCATTGGATTGCAACAACGAAGAACAGTTGCTCTACGTAAATTGTGAAGTTTCAGTATGCTTTAATTATATAGCTACTTTTTAATATATTAAAATGCATTTTTTTGGTCTGATTGTACAACAATTAGTATAACCGTTTGTGACTTTAGTAATTAATTTCTTTACAACAAAAAACATACTTTGTTTTTGTATAACAATTTTTCATAACAGTTATGTATAACATAATTTGATTTTGTTAAATTTTATTTTTGTTAACAATCATGTGATTACGTTCTTAAATTGCAAGGATATTTTTTTTAGAGCAGCTTATATAACTGTTTCGTATAACAGCTTGTTGCTAAACTTAGTCATGGCAACTTATTTTAGCCCTAACAGATTAGTATTACAGTTTATTATACCAATTTTGCATACTCTTAATTTTAATTCAGGTTCTCATTACCTGAAGTTCTGTAAGTAATTTGTTTAACTGCAGAAAACATTTTATATAACAGTCTGTTGAACAGGCTTACATTTATATACAAATTCAATGGTAGTTGCTTAACTTGTGTAGTTTACTCATTCATTGTAAACATATGCTCTGATTATAACAGTTTCCACTACCAAGAGCTTGATTGATCATTTAACTTGCCCAAGTGCACCAATTATTAATACCCTCTAGAGCGAGAAATGGCAGAAAGAGTCTCATCATTCGAACTGGCTGTATAACAGTTGCATATAACAGTTCGTGTAGCAAACAGCATGAATATAATTAATTAATCTTGAAAGGTATGCATACGACTCGCTGCAGCTGTCTGCATTGCATGCACACCCGCTGGGCAAAACGGGCCAATCCACTAACTATCCCATTCACCCATTCACTAAACCACCAAACCCACCAAACAACCATTTCATATTGGCCACCACCTGTGCCAGCCAACCCGTAACAGTTTGCAGTTTATATGCGGCTCTTAGGCACACATGTTGTCATCACTGCCATCATCATACCCCCATCACCGTCATCATCATCATCATCATCATCATCATCATCATCATCAGCCTCGTCATCGTCATCTCATGTCATTGCTGTAGCTATATGCTGGGGTATGCTGGGGCATGCTCATGAATTTGGACTGTATGGCAAATGAACTTGGAACTTGGACCAGCTGCGGAATCGCACAACGAGCCACATATCCACATTCAAAACAGCTAAAACAAATTTGAAAAAAAAAAAAAACAAAATACAAAATAAAACGCCAAAGGGAACAGTTATCTTTATATTGCCGAACTTTAAATACTCTTACTAATCTCTATATATAAAAAATGTTTCTCTAACTGACTGACAATTGATCAAGGTAGTTAGATAGATTGATTAATTAATATCTATTCACCGAAGAGGGTAATTATCTGATGGGGGTGCAGTCTAAGAGGAATTTGGAACTATTTAGTTTACCTTTCGATTGGTTACAAGCTCATTTTTGAAGATTTATGTGAAATTTCACTTGGGGCGAGTTTCACGCTTTTCGTAACATCCACGTTTCCAATCTGGAACAAAGAAGTCAAACTTGAGTACGTACTCCCATTATTATTATTATTATTATTATTATTAAGAATGATAATATTATCGCAATTATTTATAATAATTAAGGAAAACGTGCTTCAAGCTCTTGACAAAATCGTTCGACCTCTGTGTAGAGTAAAATACTGGTCATAGAAATGTGCAAATTTACTCGATTTTCGCTGTGTGTGAACAGTTTTGGAAATTTGATTTTGCTCTGGAAAGGGAAAGGGAAAGGAAGAAGGATTGGGGAACTGGGCTTGGGCTGGGCAATTTTGTAATTGTTTAGCATTCGATGCTGGGGGCACAGTCGCAATATTTGCCTGGGCATTTCGGTATGGGTCAAGCAGGCGTAGAGCTGACTGATTCGAGCAGAGGCAACTCAGGAAGCAAGCCATGGGCTTAAATCAGAAACGAAATCGAAATCAGTTCAAGCAGAGGTCGATTTTCCATTTGTATAGCTCGAAATTGTTCTTTTCAAAATTGTAGGAGTTGTGCGCCACCAAACAAAGAGCACACAAACAACAAACATAATTGATAATATAAGAGATTATATTAGCATATTTATATATAAAATATATTTATATATTTATATATATATATAAATATATATATATATATATATATATACAAAAAATATATATATATATATATACATAATCCAAATCTCAGTGGATACGCAAAAAGCTAAGGAACGGAAGGAGTAAGAAACATTTGCGCATTTCAGGATTATGTTGCTTAAGGATCAGCCATCGTTTAAGGAAGTGGCCAAGGTATTCATTGTTGGTGAGTGTAGCACTGAATTTCCGTTAAAATCGAATCCCTCCTCAATTATCAGCCACCCACAGGCTTGGCACTGCGCTCCTACGTAGCCGATGGCGATGGACAGCAACGTCGGACGTGCTTTGGGCACGAGCTGTCGCGTCGCATTTGCATGGCCGCCAATCGGCAGCGGGTCAACAATCGCCATCGCCTCCTCAAGTTCATGTCCCCGGAGCGTCTCAAGGATTATGATATGAGGAATAAGCAGCGTGCCATACAGCAACAGAGGGAGCTTAGCCACAGGGCTCAGGAGTTTGCGGCCAATACAAATCTGAATTCCAAGTTATAAACGAGATACCTAAACATAAAACCATACTCCAAGTTTTTGCTTCAATTCGGTAGTGAGCGGAGGGGGCGGGCCAGTTATCAAGGGCTCGGGGCATTGCAATTAAGTAAATCATACTATGGAGTTGTAAATTGCAACATCCTCAAGCTGCAAGCTAGGGATAGATCCAAGCAAATCTTCCTTCTGCTTGCCTCATGGAACACAGTCGATGCAGCCAGTGTTGGCATTTTGGCTTTTTGCTTGTGGTATCTAGCAATTTATACTGATTGTTAGAAAATTCTTTAAAAAAAAAGGTATTTTGCTTCTATACTTTGGTCTAAAAAGGCAATAAATGAATTCTGTCAGATGTAAGATTGCAAATGGGTTCGGTTCACGGATAAAGTTTATTGATCGTTCATCCGTATAACAATTTCTTCTGAGACTTTACACCTGGAGACTCCCAATAAGATACATCTCTGCAATGATTTATTTGGCAATTATTTAAACAAACGTCAAATATAGCTTAAGTGTTATGTTTTTTTGGTTTCATACATGAGCCACAGGCTAAAGAAGGTATCTCCGACATTGATTGATCTGGAGCACAACTACATTACACACTTTCATAGTAAGAAAGTTCATATGAAAAACTTCTCTTTTGTATACAACCTCAGCATATTCAAGCTTTATTGTGCTCCCAACATGCCTGCAAATACACAGGCTTTATATCTGCAAGGGCATTTAATATTCGGCGTGCCGAATCTAACCTCTTTCTACCTGGCTTACATTTATTTAAGCCCACGATTCTTCTTTGACCACCTTAATTTGTAGGAAACCAAATAGAATACGGCACAGCCAATCTGTCTGCTCTCTCTTCGCTCCTTTTTAGTCAGAAATTGCCGATATACAATTTGACTAGGATTTCGTGAACTATTTAATAGCAATTGTAAAGCTAACTACTTAGCAGCAATTCAGGATAAATGGGTTCAAAATTTTGGAATCTTCATCACCAACTCTCTTTTCCAATCTATCGAATATCAGACTATTAGAAAAACATGTTTTAATGTTTTTCATTTTACAATATTAACTTCAAATGCTTGCTTCACATGCTCTGTGCAAACAATGGGCTCCACATTTCCATTTCATCAGAAAATCTATGCGGCCAACTTACATAAATAAATACAACTTAAAGCCTTAAAGCTAACACTTTTCACTTAAGCTAAAATAAATATTGTACTCAATTTGCATTTTTTCATTTCTTCACGCGTTTCCCAAAAACTTAAATTGCACTCTCGACCACGATGCGAGTTGTACTGAGGATTTGTGCCTTGTAGTTACCCCCTGGAAATCTAGGTGACAGCTTTGAAGTTGCTCAGGCTACTAGATTGAGTACAATTATTGAATGACTACAAGTCAGCTGCGCAGAATAAGTCACATTAGAAATTACATCCAGCAATAAATATTATGCATTCAGAATTTTACAAACCTCTGAACACAGAGTATCTACTAGTCGATCACTCTGGCTCCAGTTGAACGTTGTGTTAATGTTTTGCTGCTCAGTAGAGTAGCAGATATTGAAATGAATATCTAATGTTATGCTTGGTGGGTGTGTTGCTTGAGGATCAGCGCTGTGAAGCCAACATAAGCTGCTCTTTAGCTAATTTCTCGCTAAAACTAGCTACTTTGACCGTCACATGCAGCGCACAGCTTAACACACTCACACACACACACAGGCTCCCACACAAAACTTGAGCTGGAGCTAAGGCTGAAGCTGAAGCTGGAACAACTTTCGGCAATGAACCTCAATGTGCTGCAGGGCAGCCCAAACGCTGGCCTAACACATCCTGCCAGGATATGCGCAGCAGTGGCCAGAGGTGTATGTGCAAAGGAGGTGCAGGTGGAGGGTAGACTCGCTGTGGCATGCATGAGCATTTGTAAAGCTTCTGTTGCTGCATTGTTCCTGCTTAATTGTCTGCAAGGACAACTGGCAGGCAGTTAGGCAGGCAGCCAGGGCTACGACAGCAGTTGCATAATTTTTGCAATTGTCGCAAGCCATAACTTGGTTGCAGGCAGCGGGCTGGCGGGCAACCAACTTGCAACTTCAACAAACACGCACACACACACACACATACACACACCTGCCAGGTGAGGCAACTGTATGCACCTGGGCATCCTGTGCGCCGCCCGCCTCAGGCTGGGACACTGCCACAACGCAACAACATCATTTTGTGCATTGCACTGCCAGCTGGCAACTTGGGCGAAACTTTTTGAGTGTAAATAATTGTCGGGGCACCGGCTAAAAGAAATACAACCGCAAAAATGTTGCAGCAGCCTTACAGGCAATTCCTTTGTTGCTGCTGCTGCTGCTGCTGCTAGAAGGTGTTTGCCTTTTTAGGTGCTCAGCATTTATGGATATTTATATGAGTTTTGCCATCCCCCCTTAACGCCCACTGGCTGCAGCCACAATTAGTCGCGCCGTAGATAAACGTCTGGCGTCGGGCTTGTCAGGGCTCTCATCTGGCCATCTGTCACCATCTGGCAGCAAAGTTGTCGGAAAATTGTCCCTCTGTCACAAGTACACACACATGTGCACACACACACGCGCACACATCACACATAAGTGCATTATTTGAATGCGGCATCTAAAACTTTTAAATGCCCAAAAAGTATTCAAAAGTGCTCTCGACTGCATGCTTGAGCATTTCCCAACACTGGCTGCAACTCTAACAGGCATGGCGCCCATAACTATTTGAAAGAGTAACTTATTTTATCATGATTTTAATTGCTTTAATTATTTATTATTTATATTGCAATTATATTCAAGGCATTACTGAATTAACGAAGGGCTAAGTTAAGAGTGACCTATTTCAGAATTAACTTTGTTCTGACTAATTGACTTGGCCAACTCTAGAAAAATCTAGACTGCAGGCAGGCTACTACCCATAAGTACTTCGAGCAAATTCTGCAGAAATTGATTTAAATTGAATATATTTTATTTCATCTTATGAGCTTAGCCTGAAAGGACTTTGGTGTCATATGTAAAGAGTGTTAATCTAAGACAGGTAATACCTTTTAGTCAGGTTCTACCAGATCTAATCTTTTATCAAAATTATAATAATAATAATAATAATTATTATTACTATTAATAACAGTAATGATTACTCACGCTCTTCAAATCAAATTTTAAGCGAGCAATCGCAGGATACCTGGCATTAAGTGTCAGACATTTGGGTTACGTGTTCTGTATTCTGGCTGACGGCTGAGAACTGAGAAACATTTCGCATAGTTCAGATCGTTATATTTTTATTGTTTTTATTGAAAAAAAAAATGGCAGACAGCATTCCCCTTTTACAACGTTCGACTCTAAACCCGGGTGCCCAAGTCTTTCAGCCCCGTGGCGGGGAAACCTTTGAAGGTGAGTGCAAGATGTTGCAGCAACAGCAGCATCAGCAGCAGGAGCCAAAGCCGCTGCACTATATTGTGCACAATAATAACAATTGGCAGCAAGTCGGCCTAGAGCCACAGCCGCAGCAGCAGCAACTGCAACAGCAACAGAAGCAACTGCACTACGTTGTGCATGGCAATAATAATTGGCAGCAAATCGGCCAAGATCAACAGCAACTTATATTGCAGCATCAGCAGCAGCACCAGAAGCAACTGCAGTACGTTGTACATGTCAATAACAATTGGCAGCAAGTCGGGCAGAAGCAGTCGCAGCCGCTACTGCACCAACAGCAGCAGCAGGTAGTCCAAATGCAGCAGCCACAGCAAGAACAACTACATTACGTTGTGCATGGTAACAGCAATTGGCAGCAGGTCGTTACAGAGCAGCAGCAGCAGCAACAATATCAGCTACAGCAGCAGCAGCAGCAGCAGCAACAGCAGCTTCAGTATGTTGTACATGGCCCCAGCAATTGGCAGCAAATCGTTCAGGAGCAGCAGCAGCAACTGCAGCAACAACAGCCACAGCAGATCCAGTATGTTGTACAAGCTAACAATTGGCAGCAGCTCGTACAGGAACAGCAGCAGCAAATACAGCAACAGCAGCAGCAGCAACAGCAGCAGCAGCCGCCGCCAGTCCAGTACATTGTGCATAGCAATAACAATTGGCAGCAACTCGTCCAGGAACAGGAGGCAGAGCAGCCAATTCAGTATGATGTACATGGTAACAATGATTGGCAACAACTGGCCCACGAGCAGCAACAGCAGATATTGTTACAACAGCAGCTGCAGCAACAGCAACGGCAACAGCAGCAGCCACTTCAGTACGTTGTGAACGGTGGCAGCAACTGGCAGCAGATCGTTCAGCAGCAGCAACAGCAACTTCAGCAGCAACAACAGGAGCAGCAGCAGCAGCAGCAGCAACCGCAGCAACAGCAACCGCGGTATGTTGTGTCCATCAACAGCAACTGGCAGCAAGTCGTCCAAGAACAGGAACAGCAAATACACCAGCAACAATTACTGCAACAGCAGCAGCAGCAGCCGCCACTACAGTACGTTGTGCGTGGCAATTGGCAGCAAATCTGCGAGGAGCAGCAGCATCAGCTGCAACAGGAGGAGCTGCAAGAAGAGCTGCATCAAGGGCAGCAACACGAGCAGCAGCAGTCACCGCAGGAGCAGCTTCAGCAGCAAGAGCAGCATCCAGATCTGCAGCAAGAGCAGGAGGAGGAGCAGCAGGAGGAGCAGAAGCAACATCCGGTTATGTGGATACCAATTGCCCAAGCAGTGCCGTCAGGCAATTCACCTTACGTGCTTATCCAGCCCTTGCCATATTATCAGCAACAGCCGCCGCCGCCGCTGCCCCACCCAGAGCTAAGTCATGATCAGTCCGCCGGCAGCAGCCCCGATAGCGACTACCATCAGCATCAGCAGCAGCCATTTCAGGCACAGCAGCAGCAGCAGACATTTCAGACAGTAAGTTATCAGCAAACGGCTGTCCAGCCGCTCACCACATATCAGCAGCAACAGCAGGAGCATCAGCAGCAGCTATCCGATGATTTCTCACGTTACCAGCAGCCCAAGCAGGCGATGACAGCTGACGTCCTGAACTATT